GGCCACGCTAGCCGTTCCGGTCTCTGCGCGTGCGCGAGCGTGCGACGTGAAATCGGGCGATGTGTCATATGTCGTCCACGCATAAAGGAAGAAGAAAACAATTTTTATATAAAGATTTTTATATAAAAAAAATTATGATATATATTGATATGTAAAATACTGCCAATTAATTAGTACTGATTACTATTATTAATTAATTCTCGTAATAAAGATTTATCGTCGCATTCCAATTTCATGTCGTTTATTAAAAATTAATTATTGTAATAATTATAAAGATATTACGTTTCGATAATAATTATGATCGCGTTTAAAGAAAGAATTCGATGGTATATGAAGTGTTTCAAATTACTATTTTATTGCACAAATATTGCCGTGCGAATGATAAGACCGATAAAATGTAAACAATAGCGCGCTGTTTACGTCGCCAAAGTCAAACACCGTGTTGAACACTGTTGATAATTTATTGTTGAAATAATTGATTATAATTTATACTTGTATGTATGTACATATGTGAAAAGTACTAAATCATAAAAGTATTTTAATTAAATTAGTTAAAATTTATGAGAGAAACGATTGATATATCGTGGAGCTTTTCTTGGTTAATTACTTGGAAACTACAATTCGATTACAAATAATAAAAGTATAAGACTCGAAATATAAAATTAACAAATTAGTTTCAATAACAATACGAGTCGATGTTATGACACATTTATTTATTATACAAAAAAGCATAAAACAATAAATAAATAAATGTGTCATAACATCGACGCTCGACTCGTATTGCTATTGAAACTAATTTGTTAATTTTACAATTCGATTATTTGCACTTTTCTAAAGATTCTATATAAAAAATAAATAAAAAATGATATTGGGAAAAAGAAAAAAAATACATAAACGAAAACGGAAATCGAAAATAATGGTTTGAATATTCCCGCCAATTGGATTAACATCCGCGAGTTAAAGCACATCGTCTTCTGATATGTGTTTACTGATTTATGATAATTTTTATTTAACTATTACTTTTTGATCGGATAACGAATCGTTTTATCTGAGACATCGATTATTATTAATATATATTTTATTTAGTAAATTAAATGTGAAAAAAAGAATTACTTGCACGTTAATTTCAAACAGTTTTTGCGCGCACGATGGCAACTCTATTTAGTTTTTCGAAGCTTTTTCAATTCGCAGTGAGTAATTGTTTAAGGAGAATGACACCGATCGCAATTTGCAAGCAATATTATCCAGGTATGTAATTTCAATAATTATATCTGTCAACTTTGTAAAAATAAAACAGCCGGATTTAGTAAACATAACCTCTCTCCTCGCATTCGTTCTCTATAATATTTTTAATATCTATATATTATCTATATATTATTTATTTAATATCTATATATTATCTGTATATTTTTAAAAAAATCTTCAATTATGAGTCTCGATATTAATATCGATGTATATCTCTTTTCTCCAATATAATTTATTGTAATAAAATTTCTGTATACAAGAAGTATATGAAGTTTTTTAGTTAAATTTTGCATGGTATAAAGTTAATTATAAGTGTTTATTAATTTGTATAAAGAAACACAACAAAATTCTTCAATGTTTTGTTTTAGGATTAAGATTATGGGAGATACCAGTAGCAGAATATCGGACGGCTAAACTACCATGGATGAAAAAAACCCCACCTTATCAAACAGAAGTGCAGGAATGGGATGAAGAGAAAGACAAAATATGCGCTGGTTGTTAACATAAATTATTATATTTATATTATTATATTGTTAACATAAATTATTATATTTTAAGTTATTATATTTTTATATATATAAAAATTTATATGATTTATATATTCTTTCTTAGATTTCTTTAGGATAAATCTTAATTGGATGGTATTTTATTTATTTTTATTTTTTTTTATTAACAGATGTAACAAATGAAATTAATAATCAAATAGCAATGGATAAGACTGGTCGAATGTTTGCGGTTGTACAAGTATGTGGAAAACAGTTTAAAGTGACAGAAAATGACATTATTATTATTGAGGGATTCTGGCCACCAAATATAGGCGATCATCTAAAACTGGAGAAGGTATTGCTCGTCGGCAGCACCGATTTCACTCTTGTAGGAAGGCCAATCTTAAATAGAGAATTGGCCTCAGTCGATGTGACAGTTATAGAGAAAACTCTTTCCCACACAAAAACTCGCTTTAGGTTTCGAAAGAGGAAACAATATCGCCGTATAAATTGTAAGATATTTAAAGTAATGAAAGTTTGCTATTTAAAAATTTTGCTGTTTATATTAATACACTTAATTTCTTTTCTTTCAGTTTGCAGAATACAGCATACAATGCTACGTATTAACTGCATAAATATAAATGGAAACATCGACGAAAAGAAAGAAGTAGAAGGATTAGACAGAGTGTATTAATAATATAATATGTATGCATATATATATATATATATATAAATAAAAAAAATATACAAATATTATATATCTTCTATATTAAGAAAAAAAGGTAAAGATTATTTAATCTAAATTATATGTCAAATCAAAAATGCTATGAAAAACTAGTTTGAAAAAATAGGATATGTTCTTTTTCCATGAATTTTAAAATATTTATTTTATACAATTTTTTATTTGTATAAAAAGTTTCAAGTTTCTCTTATTTAGTCTTATTTAATCTTATTTAGTAGTCTTATTTAGAGAGTCTTATTTAATTTCTCTTATACAGTTTCTATATTTTTTTCCTGAAATTACTTTTCATTTACTATAATTAAAATGGCAATCAATTTTTTATATAAACTTCTAAGATATAATTATATAAACTAAGATTCCTTTATGATCTGTCAATTCATCGTTCATGTAAAAACATATCCATGTGATTCCGTCGAATAGACGATCCCTTGTAATTTTTCATTGACATTTCATGGAAAATGTGCGCCCGCAGACGCGCGACATCTAGTATACGCTAGAATGGAGTGAAGGGAAATCAATGTTACTAGAATGTCACGTGTATCTGTACACGATTTTCACTTGTGTGCCTGCCCCCTCCACTATGTTGCCAGTTGCCAGCGTATCCATATCCATTCTGGCATGACTGAGAGAAATAAGTGGAGGTGGAAGAAATTGCCAAAGCAGTGACAAGGACAACGTCGCGCGGTGCGGTCGATATTTCTCTTACTCCGTCGATCGGCAATTATTGCTGCCGATCTCTTGTCACAGCTGGACTCACATACTCCGTTCGGAGAGATAATTTCTCTCACGGAATTTTTGCAAATCGCGTGAAAATATTTTTCATCATCGGCACAAACTCCGAACACTAAAATTTTCAATCCGTATCTACGGCGCCTTAGAAAGAACGGGAATTTTGTAAGTTAGTAGACTTGGAATCGTTGTCGAAAGAATAGAAAGTGGCCTGGACGAGATTTCCGATCGTATTTGTAAATTGGTTTTAAGGACACGTCATTTTTCTAAATACTTTTCACCAAGCTGGATCAATTTGTTTTATTGAAATAAATCGAAGAAAAAGTTCCATGGAAATTATTTCAACTTATATTGGAATATATATATATATATATATATATATATATATATATATATATTCCAATATAAGTTAAAATAATTTCCATGGAACTTTTTAAATATATATATATATATATATATATATATATATATATATATATAACGAAAAATGATGTATATATACATATATAATAGAACATAGATATACATATATCTACAGGATGTTTGATAAAGAATTAACACACATCATTTCTCGTTAATCTTATATAAAGTTTGGGGATAATTTAATTGTCACATACGCATATGATAGCTGCTGAAGTGCGCTTCTGTCAAATTACATATACGTGCGAATTTCACGTGGAAAAAAATCGATTAAAGATTTTTTAGATTTTAAAATTTTATTGTAAACATATGCATAATTACGACATTTATCTTTGTACAGTAGAATTTCCTTATATTTAGTCTCATTTCCTTAAATTTAATCTCGTTAATTTTAATCTTGTATATCCTTTCACACCTATTTTTATAAACATCACATTTTTATAAATATAATCGGTCGCATCTCTTCATGTAACAATGGTTCGTTAGATGATTGTACACGCATCTGTACTGATTTACATTTAACATTTAACTTTAAAAATGAGAAGAATTATTTAGTTCTGTAAATTACTCAATTATTTCTTCAGCTTCAGAATTAGAATCAGACAAGAAAAGCAGTTTTGCGATATCCGATAATTTTTCTTTTCCAGGAATTTACCGCTCTTTTCTCTACAGAATTAAAATTAATGAAATTCTACGGTATTTTTTACCTCAACTATATACAACAGAAATTTATCAGCGAAATGTTATCTCAGAAGATTATTTGATTTGTTTTTCAAATGACAATATATTAATCAGCAAATTGAACAATTGATTAACTAGATAAATTTCATGCTTATATATTTTTTGAAGTTATCCCGTATTATCCTATTTCATCCAGATTCTGCCGAATCCTTACAAAACATCCAGAAATAGTTTCAAAGTTCTTGCCGAACGGATTTGACAAAAAACGATTTTGAAAAATGGCAGGAAAAAGGAAAACTAAGAAGACGAAGAAGCAGAAGAAGATCATAGACGAATATCAATTACGCAGAGATCTAAGAGAACAGATGAAGATGATGGAAACCGCGGATCTAGTGCAAGAAACTGTGATACATGCGAAGGACCAGACACAATACTCTGAAGATATTAGAATCGGTGGTATAGAGGGGTAAGTTTGATTCATATAATCAATCAAACATTAATGTATACGCATACACAAGATACACCCTGAAATTAATTAAAATAATTGGAACAAAAAATCATGTGATCAATTATTCACGACATACTAAAAGTCTTCGCGATATATTAAAAGATTGTGATTCGTAACAATGTTTTTATAATATTATCAAATCATTTGGGTACTTACAAGGGAAGTTTGGCAAGTCAAAAATTCGAAAAAATCTGAAACTTGGCATAATTTTAGAGTAATATATTCTAATAACGAAACCATTTTTTATTAATGCTAAAAAGCGGGTTTAGGGGCATAATCAACCGCTAGAAAATCAATTTTTGCGTTCCGAAGCGAATATCATCGAAACGAATAGAAATATAAAAGATTTCTATGTTCAAACAAATGTTCTATGGCCTTAAATATACTTTATAATTGCGTACTTGGATTTTTTAAAAATGATAAAATTTTTTCAAATACCCCACCACTCAATATTTTTTATATTTTGAAAACATTTTTAAATTATATATATTTTAAAGCTAATGTGTTACGCCAAATTCAACCATGAATATTACAATTATGTTGCGGAAATTAGTTCTTGAGAAATAAAATAAAGACGCATGCTACTTGCCTACTACTTACATATTTGTTCGCTGTTTCATAATGACTTATCTTTTTTTTTTGTTTCGCAATACATGATAGCAGTACTAAATTCCGCAACATCAATTTCCATAAGTTTTAAAATATATATAATTTAAAAATATTTTCAAAATATAAAAAATATTGAGTGGTGGGGGTATTTTGAAAAATTTTATCATTTTTTAAAAATCCAAGTACGCAATTGTAAAGTACATTTAAAGTCATAAAACATTTGTTTAAACAAGAAACTTTTATATTTCTATTCGTTTCAATGATATTCGCTTCGGAACGCAAAAATCGATTTTCTAGCAATTGATTATACTCTTAAACCCGTTTTTTAGCACCAACAAAAAATAGTTTCGTTATTAGGATATATTACTCTAAAATTATGCCAAGTTTCAGATTTTTTTGAATTTTCGACTTGCCGAACTTCCCTTGTTAGCTTCCCCTTCAGAGTAAATCTTCCAGGTACTCAACACCTTCACCAATGTCAAGATGTATCCGTTGGGAGGGTTATATTATTTAATTTTGTGTAATATAATTTATAATTTATCTTATAAATAAAAGATTACATCTATACATCATATACATCGAATACATCGTATTTTAACATAAGTAAATAAATATGCAAGTTAAAAATTAAAAATAAATATTTACAGATTTTAATATTCGAAAATATAATTAGATTTGCTGATTGTTCACATGATAGATTTCGATCGAACAAATCTCGAGAAATAAACAATATCGTAAAAAATGAGCGCTCAACATCATGTAAAGTAAATGAATTCATTACCGCTACGACATATTTAAAGCGATATAAAATGAATTTACACAAATTTATTTCTGTCGTTTGTATTTGAAATTAATTATTAATTAAGCAAATGATATATTATTGCTTTCATTATTTTAATTTGCACGTTTAATTTAATTATTTTAATTGATCTTTGACTGATCGTTTTATTATATGATTGCAATCCGAATGACAAATTACATTTAAATCGCAAAAAAATATAAAATGTCCAAATATACATATTTGATTCCAAATGTCGACAGAGAGACTCAATTACTGTCCGTAAAGATTGCAACGAAACAATAATTTATAATTTTTATCTTGTTTCCTTGATTCTTATTTAACATAAATGATCACATGATATACACGTTTCGACAAAGGCCATCGCGATATATTCGATCGTGATAGTGCAAAATATTTACCAAAAGTTTATTATTCGTTAGTATAATGATAATAACGTCTTATTTTTTTAATGTTTATTGCGATCGCGCTTTGATAAGGAATTCCACAATATTTCAGAATATCTCTGCACTAATACAGAATATACAGAATCTATCTGCATCTGCAATTTTTCGCTTCGTTTGATTGATAACAATTGTATGTCTTAATAATAATTTTTAGACGAGAAAAATGATAACTAAATAACATATGACAATTATTTAATTTGTTGCCTCGAAATATTTAATATTTTAGAAATTTAATAATTAATATAAATTTAAATTGAATAGTTTCCTATCTTTTTGCATTTTAAATTAATTTCAATAATTAAGTCAGTACCACAAAGTTTAATGTTTATTTGAAAAATATAATTTATTTTAATTTGATAATAATATTTAAAATAATATTTATGTATCAATATGATGTTATTATTATATTAAATTTTCATATTCCAAGGAGACATTATCTTATCGTCACAATTATCAACACGATTATACAAATTTAAAACACCCGTTTCCACTTATGTTGAGAAACAAAAAAACATATATAGGGGGTTTCTTAATAAATGCGAAAAATTTTAGGAGATCATATTATTTGTTGAAAAAGGGGGTTTTTCATTCATATAAACATGTACTCCTACTGATTTATTTAGAAACTCTTTTATTTCTTTTATTTTTTTCATAAAATCAGTAGTTATTAAGAAAAAAATAAAATACGTTATCGTGTAACACGATGCTAAATAGCATATATTTCAAATTACGAGAAGTTAAATTTTAAAATAAAAATAAAATTAGAGTAAATGTTGAGAATTGATTTTATAATTTGCAATAAAAAGTAATTTCTATAATGAGATAAATATGTGCAATTGATATCAATCATAAGAATTGGTGACATTTAATATTTATTGAGAGTCGCAAGCTTAACTTTGATGAGTCACATGCATCTGCTTAAACGACAGCTATTAATACGTATTTTTATTCACTAGGATTGAGTCATTCATAATAAGAAAAAATATAAATGATCACCCTATCACGTAGAGTGATAAAAAATGGGAGGGAAGATAGATTTAGAGAAAGAATATTTAATTTTTGCTGAGAGAGAGAGAAAGAAAATAGTCAATTAGTATTTGCAAACTACTTTATGTCTAAGAGATATGTATATACATAGAAAATACTAATTAACATAATTTTCAGAGGTGGGACTCATTCTACACTTGTAATAATCGATGGAAAAGGTACGCGACTAACGGAAATTGAAGGACCGCTAACTAATCCTTGGGTAATTAAAAATTTTTTTTAATTATATAAAATTAACTATTTATTTTATTTTTAAAGTATTGTATGAATCTAGTTAAAAACAAATTATGAATTTCGATGAGACACGCGAAAAAGAACGGAAAATTTAAAATTTTTTAAAGTTGAACTCGTAGCGTTTTCAAGATAAAAGATTATGTATAATTAAACAAATATAATTTTGCTCTTACTAGAAAATATTCATTTGAAAAATTTGTTTCTCCTAGGCAATTGGCATAGATGAGACAGCTGCCAGACTTAGCGCGATGATCGAGAAGGGTAAACAAACATTAAATATACCAGAATCCGTCCCTTTAGATTGCGTAGTGAGTTTATATAGATAATTATATAGATAATTATTTTTATTACTATTATACTAAAATGTATACTTTTTAATTATGAATATAAATAAAATGATAATAGTGAAGTAAGCGTGCCATAATGATGATTTCGAAATAAACGAGCTTTCATTTTATTATACTTTTTTAATCTGTTTCCAAATTTTAAATCTTTGATTATATTTGAAATCGACGTGTTTTAACATTGAAATGTTTTGCAAAAAAAAATTATTTGACAGGGGTTCAGTTTAAGTGGTTGTAAGGAGGAATCTACTGATCGTCAGCTCAAGGAAACTTTCCTACAAAAATATCCACACTCTGCTAAGGATTGTGTAATCACCTCGGATGCTGTTGGTGCTCTCCGAACTGGCTTGGAATCAGGCGGAATTGTATTAATTAGTGGAACTGGTAGTAATGGTATGCTCATCAATCCCGATGGAGAGATTCTCGGATGCGGAGGCTGGGGACATATGTTGGGCGATGAGGGAGGTGGTACGTATTTTTAGTGGTATTCTTACTGTAAAAACAATAGGAATGTGAAAAAAATAAATAAATTTCAAAATTAACCGTTTTAAATCAACAAATAGCCTTACTTTAATTAATCTTTATTTTATAAATAAAAAATTTTTGAATATAATTTTATTTCTTTCAGAATTCTCCGAGTATAGTTAAAAATTTTTTAAATAAATTAAATGAGTTTTCTCTCTTTTGTTAAAATGTAATATTATTATCTACAATTAACATTGGCTTATCAGTTATTTCTTTTTTATGATTCTGATTAGTTATTTAAATCTTTATCTCTTCTTTGGAAAAGTTAAGATATTTTTTGACATACTTATCTTTATATACAATAAAGTAATGATAAAATCTATTGTTCCTATATCACTAGTATCCCAGTACAACAGATAAGCTTATTTATCTTTCTCTTTTTTTTATTTTTCTATTTTAAAAACATTTAACAATTGTGTATTGCTTTGTATTTGAGGGCATTTATTTTAGAGTCATGCTTAATAATTATAATAATAATAAATTTTTAAATGAAATCTATTATAGAAATAAACATTGCCATATATATTAGGCTTACAATTAGGCTTATCTTAAATGTTGATAAATTTAAAGTTAAATTTACAATTAAATTATATGCTACAATTATTCACTTTCTCTTGTTCATTTGACAAGCTTACTGGATCGCCCACCGTGCCTGCAAATATGTATATGATGATATCGATGGTTTCACGGAGGCACCGGAATCCATAAACTATCTATGGTCGGCGATCAGAAAATATTTCAACATAATCGATAGACGCGGTATATTACCATATCTTTATACGAATTTCGACAAGAGCATCATCGCAGGTTTCACCAAAGAGATTGCGATCGGTTGCGAGAAGGACGATCCATTATGCCTGAGGATTTTTGAAGAAGCTGGATGTGTATTGGCAAAGCACGTTAATGTTCTCTGGAAAAAGGCGCACAATGTTAGTGCTTTAATTTCAATAATTAAATGATTCATTTTTCATATGCAAAATTTTACAATGATTTCATCAAATAAAATTGATTTACTAACAATTTGTTCAATTTTTCCTATCAGGATCTTAAGTTGGCTCATGGCGGAATAAAAGTGATCTGCGTCGGATCTGTGTGGGAATCATGGAAATTCATGAAGAATGGTTTCGTGAATGAAATTCATAACAGACATATTGTGAACGAGTTGAGTCTATTGCGGTTAACGACAACGTCGGCGTTAGGCGCGTGCTACCTGGCCGCGGAGAAAATCAATTGTTCATTCGTCAAACCATACGACAGCAACGTCGAAATCTTCTTCCATTATAAGCGCGATAATTATCCGGCGTGAATAATTAAACGTAAACGATAGAATTTAAAAAATAATAATTTTTATAAATAAATAATTTATATTATATTAAAGAATATTTTTATTCAACGTTGAAACAAACGCTTATTTATCTACAAATATCGTCCAGAAATGACAAGTAAATTATCTCTTAATAATTGATAATTTAAAGGACTCAAATTTTTAACTGATGATTACACACATAGCAAATAAATATAAGATAACACATACATAATACATACACAAATAGTAGATAAATAATATATGATAAATAATGATAAAGAAATCTATAAAAATATGTTAATAAAAATATCGATTTAATGTACACACAAACATATATATATATATATATATATATATATATATATATATATATATATTTAAAAAAAACAGTATAATAAATCATGTGAATATAAATTTTTCTCAGATAATTTTTTTACACTAAAACTAAAACAAATTTTTTTACACATAATATATTAAAGATGAATTTGTCTCTCTTCAAAACTTCATAGTATACAAAGAATGGGATTGAAAGCAATCTGGGATACGGCATGGGGCTGCATATTCTGGATCCTCTCTCTAATCATTAAAATTGTGTTATATTTATTTATATCTCTCTTCAGCCTAATAATTTTAGGAGGTTGTGCTTTTGCAATAATAATCCTTATTTTATATGCTCTTGACCTTCTACCAATGAACGAACACAGATGATTAATGGATCCGAAAATGTCGCGTATCTAGTAAGTACGGTAAGTGACGTAATAATTATCATTGTCATAAATTTAACAGATTATATAATATGAAAAAAACTTTATTTGGAGATCCCAAGGAATTCATTGTCAACATGAAATTACATATGGCACGTAATATATCTTTGAAAAATATATTTATATCAGGATGTATCACAATATTTATCTCATGTACATTGCAACAGTAACATGCGTACACACAACACTTGCACACAAATATCATAATATTCCTCTTATTCCGTTTATAGCTAAAATTTATAATCACCACAATTCATAGTCAGATTTGCATTGAAATCTCATTTTCTCAATACATCCTTTAAAGCACAAACTTTTAACAACACTTATAATTTTATATGTACATAATATAGATTTGTGAGAATTCACAGGCCTTGTCATATAAATAACGTATAATTATTTAAAATGTAAAATTTGACATTTTTAAAAAAAATATATATTTTTAATATAGATTTAACTATCCCCCGAGAAAAAACATGTGTCAAACAGCCACCTAGGAATTATTATGCTGTCGTTGTACACTTATTCTCAGTATGCGAAGAGAATGATATAAAATTTAAAGGATATTCTGTGGAATATGTTTACTGATATAACATTACATATCTAATATGAAGCGAAATATTGCTATCATTAAATATGATATTTTTACCCCATTCTTAGCATTCAATCAACATTATATTTCAAATTGATCTGCAATGAGAACTATTAAATTGTCATTCATATTGTTATCACTACTTTTCACTTATCATCATGAGATGTCTACATTATATATTTGCTTGATTTTTTCTGTTGTAATTTCTACACATTCTTGATACTGTATCAAACTATTTTTATATTCTCTATATCTTTTATATGTGTATGAAGTCTTTTTGTTCCATCACGCAAATATTTAAAATTGTATTGCTATGTATATTTATACAGAGGCAGAGAAATTCAATTTTACTTATCATAATCAGATTTGTGTGAATTTTTGCAACAATGATACTACTATCAATTTTTTACTTACAATACTATTACAAATATATTTTAGCAAGAATGCAGTTTTCTTAGTTTTTTAGTTTGTTTTCTTATTATATAAACAAAATGAAAATGCATGACTCTATAAATTAATCATCAGTGCTTTAAGTCGAATATTTCTATAAGCAGTGGCTCTACACTGGATGGATTGACATTTAAATAAACTCCCACAACTTCGTCATTTAATTTATGGAGTTCAGAAATCTTCTGTATTAACTTGAGAAATGTGGACTTGGCTTCACAACCAGGATAAACACTTTCCAGATATCGTCTGAGAAGATAATAGTATGAATTCTAGAAAAAAGAAAAATATTGCAGTGAAAAATGTGATTCAAACGCGAAATCTTTTAAATTTTGCTTTATATTTCAAGAAATATAAAAAAATCTACTAATATTTTATAAACTGTAAGAATTCACAGGCCTTAATTATTGACTTTTGTTTTAAAAAACTCAATCATATATATTTATTGTGATACATAGATGCCTCAAAATTCTAGGAGAGTCATAGAGAGATTGTTTTATAAATTATGAACACCTACAGTACGCTATAAATAATCGCATCATAAATTGATGCAAGCATTTTCGAACTTGAAGATTTTACTGACCTGCTCCAATTTAATAACATCACTATGCACGACCCTCGGTCTATCGGGAGTAAACAAAGTGATAGCGCTTAAAATTAGAATAATGTTTTCATCCCGCCATCGGGGATCGAATGTTCTAACGAATCTAGCGTGCTCGGCATACAAATTTCCCTTTGCTTCCTTCAAAACGTCAACTTTGATATTGGACATACTCTCTTGGCTATGAGGTATTTTCCACATATCTTTATCTGGATCATAATTAATGGCTGATCTTAGAATCAACATTTCCGTACAACCGCCTTTCAGTAAAGCTAACTGATCCTCTTGACACATATTTTTGAAGGCGTTTATTTTCTTGGACATCTTTATCAAGCGTCTAATCGCTATCGCTGTTAAATTTATAACATCCAATAACATTGGATCAGATTGTCCAGAATTATTCTGCAAATAGATATTTCTCATTATATACCTTATTCATCTGTATTAAATGCAATTCTACATAAAAAATCTAAAATTTCAAAAGAAGTAAGATTATACCTTAAATTTACATTCTTCGCCAACCAAATTTGTTATGTCATCATCTAGTGGAGCTAATAATGCTTTATTGGCAACTATCAGTTCGTTTAATTTCGCTCTTTCGGAATCATTCAATTCTCTACTGATTTGATTACCCCCGAAACTAGAAAATGCTGAATATTCCAACTTGATGGCTTCGCATAAGATAGACTCTATAGAATTGGCAGCGATAGGTATTCTGAAACAAATATCCAACTTTAATAATAAGTTTCATAGCATTTTGTAAATATAATATTAATATATATTGAATATAGTCTTATACCTTTGAACATCTTGAAGAATATCTCTGGTAACATCGGCTGTATTTTTATTCCAATCTGTACTTATGCTAGGTTCTACATTTTGATTTTTGCATTCATCCGTGTTAGGATTAATTAAACCTGTCAGGATCGGATTTTCGACGTGACTACTTTTGGATTTTGGCGTATATCTGGTAATATTGCTCGAGCTATCATTATTCCGCGAAGTTTCTTTCTGAAACTGACTTCCTGTTTTGTTGTCACCACGCCTGTTACTCGCATCAGTTGCATCATTTTCCTCTAAAAATTGTATGATATGCGGATCCGTTGCCAAACACGTGGCCATATCAGGGTCCGTCATAATCTTCATTACTACCCTTTGATCCTGAAGTATCTTGGCGATTAAATTTGGATTATTGACGAATTTTGTAAACAGATTGGGATTTTGCTTGAACTTGGCGACTAAATTATTTCCGCTCGAACACATCTCCTTCGGTTTCTGACATATTGTTATGTCTTCCTTCACGAGTTGTGCTTGTGAACTCGAATCAGGTCGACTCGTTCCACTATTCGATGCACAATCAACGTACACCAAGGAATTTTGCTCGTTGCTTTGCTCAAATTTGGAGTAATTGGCCGTATTTTCGTCAAACGAAGGACTGTAACTCGACAATTCGCTATTAACATTTACAAATTCGGGACTTAATTCTAGCGAATTTTGCTCGTATTCCGCTGAATTTGATGGTGTATTCTTATTATTTCCTGTATCAGGAGGTGCCATATTGAAATCGGTGAATGATTTCACGCGGCTACAAATAAACAATTTTGATTCAGTTTTTATTGATTCTTATTTTGTTTTCTATTATACAAAATTGATTGTACCTTGCAAGATTAGGCTTCGAACCATGAGTGGAATCCTTCAGCATGTCCAACGTCTTCGTTTCAGCGATATTCGTACTCTCCGGTGGACTCGAAGGACTAGGTACACTAGCTGCTGTCACTGGGCTCATACTCTCGACAACATTCTGCCTGTTACCGTCTAGATCTGTGTATTTTCTGTCTGATTCCCAAAAATACGTCTCTGTTGATGCGACTGAATTAACCGATACCGATGTGTCTTCAAACGTACAGTCATCTACAGAATCTTTTTTGATCTTTGATGCTTTGGCATTATCGGATTGAGATCGTTTTGTCGCGCGATTTTTCTCGATCTTCTTACGCTTTAGGACTTTGTCCTCTTCAGACATAATATAATCCTTGCGCATACCAATACTGAAGCATTTGTCCAAACGGCATTTTTGACAAAAGCGTCTGGTTACAGGTGTAATGTTACAGTTTTGCGTAAAAGGGCATCTAAAGTCCTACAAAGAGAATATATATATATATATATATATATATATATATATATATATTTAATATCATTTAAAATATTCAATTCACACAATTTTATATACTTACTATGACAATACTATTATAAATTGAAAAATTTTGCATAAATAAGAGAACTCTTTATAACGATATGTTTTTACTCATTTTGATTAATCTTATGAATAAAGTATCACAATCTTTTCTATTAAATAAATGGAAAGTTTCAAGAAAATTGAAAACATCAATATCTTATCTAACATTCTTAACAGTTCTTCAATCAAAACTTCAAGTAAGAATCCAGCTTTAAATCTAAAAGCAATCAATTATACATAATTGCGAGGCTCAATAATAGTAGCCTCATGTTTTTGACATCTTTTATAAGAATTAGATCCAAATTCAAAGTTTCTCATGTTAGAACTGATGTAAGATCGAGATCAATTTCTTCTTAAGAAAAACTCATTGGAAGAGAGCGCAGAAGTTACAAACAAAGAGCTCAGTGCAACAGTCTGTTTCGTTCCTTTAAAAACTTGAAAAGAATTAGATTTATAAATTGAAGCTTTCTCCCATTAATTATAATCAATCTTTCCAAGTCTCTCCGAGGAGATCGGAACAATTTGTTGGGACTCCAACAGGAGTCGAGACGGAGGAGTGAAAATTCACCTTATTCTTCAGCGCGTTCCTCCTGAAGAAGGCCTTGCAGCTCTCGCAGGAGACGGCGTTGAAGTTGTAGCCGAGCGCGCGGTCGCCGCAGACACCGCAGATCTTGGTGGCCTCCCTCGCCGGCTGTTCATCGTCCATTGCTCCTGGGGCGGCGTTCTGGCGAGCGGCGATTAGCACGTCTTATCTAACACACAGGCGGAGTAACATCGTTCTCCTGTATCTCTCACTCGCTCACCCGTCCCGAACGCGCGATTAATTGCGCTTTCGCCGTGATTCACGTCAACATTGTTTATCTGTATTCGTGGACAGTTCGCCTGGGGACCGAGTCGCGACTATTTATCGCCCGCGGCATCACCATCGTCATCATCATCATCTCTTTCTCACCGCAACCTCACGACGACCTCCTCACCGCGTCCAACGCCCCTTCGCGGGGATCCGCGCGTACAAAAGCTCCTTAAGTGACCACCAGATCGTGTTCAATTGACGGCTCGGTCAATTGGCGACAGTTGACGAGGCGCGATGCGCGTACAAATTCGTCGTAAAACCCGTTCATACCGCAGTCCCTCTCCCTCCCCCCCCCGCCGCTTACTTGTCACTCGCCCCGTCACCTTCCGTTAGCGAGAAGATGGAGATACTACGACGTCGCGATGTAACTAGAGATCGCGCTCTCTCGTCCACGTGACCACAAAGAGAATTCCCGCGCGTGTCCACGTGGCTTCAAACGCATTTGGGAGAAGATTAATAAAATTGTGCGATGAATTCCAAATCGATTTCTGTCCCTATCTGCTAACGTTATCGAAGCGTCGATATAGAATATATATTCTTCGGATATTGAATTAATTTCAGAATTTTTGCTGAACTTTGAGCATTGTTATATGTATATCGAAAATTTGCAATAAACGATGCAATATTTCGCTAAAATCGACTGCGAATTAGTTAGGCTCTGCTGATTTTTAAATTAGGATCGTGATTCCATGTATGTGATAAATTAACAGATATAACATTAGGAGCGACTGAATTTTTACGTTAATGAACAAAAATTATCAATATTTGTGATATTTTAATCGGTCACTCGATAATCGATTATAATCATAATTTTCCAATAATTTCTTTGTAATAGAAACTTTTTACTAACAAATGTACTATATCTCGTTTACTATAAATGTCTTCTTTTCGAGCTTATTCAAGCTTTAAATAATTTGATTAAATATATATTGAGCTGTTACATATTGTGTGTGCTGAAGACAACATTAAAATATAAAACGAGAAAAATATTAACAAACTTACAATATATATCATTATGTAACAAAATATTCGATTTGATCTTTATCAATTAATAGTTTGATTCAAAGAGCAGCCACATAATTACAATTGCAATCGTCGTGAGAACAAAATTTGCATATTACACAACAAATGCAGGATCGATTATAAAATTACTTTTACATTGCACAGAGATTAAATTTGCATTGCTGGAGACAGCTGGAGATGTCGCGGTCATGACTTTGGAAATCACTTATCAATTTGATTGGCCGGTCAGTCGACATTATCACTTCTATTCTCAGCGCGTATAAGATAACCATATTGAGATATACATATGTGCGTATTATGATTCATGTTTACAAAATTAAATCACGCATAAACTTGATTAACGCAGCTAAAAGGGAAAAAGCGCAACTGAGAAATATAAACATATCTCGCATAAGGAGAAAGCGATAAGATTCATAAATTGTGTGTTTCATGGGTATGTGTGAGAAAAAACGAATCTCTCCTCCTAAAAAAAAAAATTTAATTAAGTTTTACAATATATGTATACATATCATCACATTGATCCTTTGATGCCAAAAGGCTCATAAAGATAATTTAAATGGATCACTAGTCCATTTGATGTCATAGTTTAAAAAACGATATATTAACTACAATTTTTGTGAACATAAATACTGATATAGAAGACATATAACAATATATAATAATATCTTTATTTGCTTAAAGATATATTCTGTTCTATCATATAAGATTATTTATTATTCTCTTAAAACTATAAATCAGCCATAAATATATGTCCTACATTAATAAAAGATTGAGATATTTGTATATTTATATATATACATATATATTAAAAAATACGTATATATTTTCCGCAAGAGAGATCCATTGCTCAATAATCGAGCTTATTCATATCACTTTATCAAAGGCACACATAATTGTTAAAAAAAAATCGTAGACGAATAGAGATTGAACCAGAAAATTTGCTTTAGCAAGAAGAATAATAATGTCTTGCACAAAATGCAATTAACATCGATTTAAATATATATTATTTTATATATATTATTTTAAATTTTGCATTTTAAATATAAAGACACTAAAGAGGCACTGTGTAAAATTTTGTTTATCAATTCATTGATCGACCTATCTACGATTTGGAGATTGTTGCGACGTCTTATAAATGTTTGCCCGGCAGTGTTAACATATGTATAAAATTCTTATACATATCGAGATTATTGAGAAGTATTTCTTGTTCCCATTTACATCAAGATTGATCATAGCGGAAATTATTTTGGTGGAGTGTCAGTCAATCTCGTGCTTCCAATCTGCACACCGCCGCTGTAGAGCATCAGTTCCTCCTTCAAGTAAAACGCCACGATCTCGTCGATCGTCGAAAAAGACAGCTCATTCACTTTCGCAGAGCCCAGTGCGTATCTACACAATTTAAAAAATACTTTTCATATCGAACTTTATTAATGAGTTTATAAAAAGTAGTTTTTCCATACAAGTTATTTTTTCATATTTTCTTCTTATTAATGAAATAGATAAAAATAAGCAGGACTGTTAATTGTCCAATCCTATAAAATGTTGATCACATAAGAATTTATATTCAATCATTTAAGAGAGGAAAGGAAATTAATATAATATTTATCTCATATATAACACATGAGACTAATAAGAAATTATAGTCCAGTACTTGTGAGTAGACGAAATATATACGGACAAAAGATATTTTACAAAGTGATTAAGTTCAATAACCAAAATGTATACCTATTGTCAGTTCTCTTTCTAACTGGAACATTGTAAACCCTATCTTTATACCAAAGCACCAAGGCTAAGGGATTGCCAATGTTTGTTGTCGATGGTCTTAATAAAAAATATCCATCTTGTGGGTTACTGTAAGTACCTTCTGAAAACAGAGTATTATATATATTTAATAGTTACTTCACAACACAAATTATTTGAACTTTTATATCTTTCCATAAGAAAAATATCTTGATAAAAAAGATTTCTAGTTTTATGATACTCATATTTAAATTAAATATGCAATTTTACATAGATGCAGAATGTTTTGTAACCACAGCAATTTTTCTTAATATTAATAATTCGATCTTTACTAAAGTTTAAAATCAATTTTTTTCGTAGCAACGAGAAAATTAATTTTTCATTATTAAATATAGCTTTTATTTGCAAAAATTGTCTAATACATACGTTCTTCGATGAGCGCAGCCGCCTGTTCTCTCGTTACATTATGATACCACGATTTGTCTACTAAAGATTGTTTATCGGGCGGCGGCGGTAGCGGTCGCGTGGCTCTCTCGGTTGACAGCGAAGTGTTACTGTCAGCATGAGGTACTGTGGCTGATTTTTTATCCGGTGATCGTTCTGTAAATATGTAAGAAAATCAAGATTAATATATATATATATAAATGAATGTTATAAATTAATATAATATATCAATCTTTTCAATAGCTATTTATCAATAAATTTTTACATTCATTAAAAAATCATTCTAAACATTTTATATGTAATCGAAATACAATATTACAAATTGATGTAAAAAGAAATATAATTCAATATCATAATATTATAAAAATATTAATTTGTAAATAAGAGAAAGAGATGCGCTCGATAAAATATATAATCCTAAATTGTTATGTAGAGATCATTTTTCTTTTATTAAAACACATAGCTCGCGTTACTAACTTGCTAAGTTAAGTCGAGCTTGCGTAAGGGCTGCTTGTGTTAAACATTCTGAGAGACTTGCTTGCCGGCGTATCGCTGTATTAAGCGACATATTCCGCTTCGTATCGCTCATTAAACTTGCCATTATCGCGAATTCGTCACGTATTCCTCGGCGGATCGCGAATATGTCTATCGAGAGTACAAAATCGTATAATATATCGTCACTGAATTTTTTTATAATTAATAATTACAACTGTCGTCTGACAATAATATTATATCGCAACTATCACAAAATTCGAATGTAAATAAATTTTTTGGTTTTATTTAATCAATGTTTATCCTTCCGAATTTGTGATTTTATTAAAACACACAACTGCAAGCCTCTGGAGCCACGCTAATCTGAGGAACGCGATGCAATCATCGCAAAGATCTTGACGAAACTGAGATTTAACTCTCTAGGGGTGAGCCCTTTAAAGGTCTATTTACACATATCCATGATGTGTCAGTATTGTACCAGTGCCGTGTCAGTAACATCCATGATGTATCAGTGATGATTATTTACATATATCCGTATAGTTTGATTAATTTGAACTCAGTTATTTTTGAGAATAACTTATAGACAATAAATTAGCAATAATTGCTATAATTTTGGATGAAGAAAAAACAAATGAGACGAAGAAACGGAAGTAGATGCACGAAGTCATAGACTTGGATGCAAATAAAATATTATATTAAGTATAATTGTATTGTAAAACTTTGCCTTAAAATTACACAATGAATATAATATTTCACTTTCATCCAAATCTATGAATTGATCCAAGAAAAGTAATCTGCTTCATATCAAATACTTTATAAGTAAATTTACTGATCGCTATAATGTATCCGTGAAAAAACAAAAATAACGTTTGCAATAAATACAATATCACTGTGGATACTGAACTAAGACTGATCGATTCAAATACAATGCTGCATCGGATGTGTGTGAACACATCCATCCAAAAATAAAGGAACAACATTTATTATCACCGATAGAAAATTACGGAACTGAATAGATACGGCACTTACACGTCACAAATATGTGTAAACAGACCTTAAATCATCGCAAAACAAGAAGAGCGTTGGTCAATCCGTTGGTCTCTCGGCATGAGACATAGATGTATCCGAATAGCACATTTAAGAATATCTTCCATAAATTCGATCCAAAGAATCAATGATTTTTTATAAACAACAAAGAAAACCTGATAAAAAGAAAATGAAATTTTCAGTATGGTCTAGTATTTTTATAAAATGATGAAATTATTCTATTACAATTCTTTATCAACTTGTACTAATTCTTTATAAGGAACAAAAATGACAAAAACAACAATCATCAATAATATGACTGATTATCAAAATGGGCAAGAAAGATTAAAATCATGTATAATTTTTCTTATTCTAAACATCATAAAAATGCTAAGTATGTGTTTCCAGATTGGATATAACACACATATTTAATAAGTTAACATAAAATTTCTATATAAATCTTCTCATAAAAAAATATTAATTAATAAGAATTAATAAAAAGTATTAATTATAATAACATTAATTTACTATTAGATAAATATTTTGTACATAAATATTTTAAATATTTGAATAATAAATTATATTGTAACATATACATACATTATGATATTAAAAATTGATATATGTGAAAAGTAGAGAAAGGAAAGGATTCATTTCTCAAATCTATTCCCGTCTCTCAACAGAGTTCGACGACCTTCAATGAATCAAAAAGGAACAGATGTTCTATTAATGTACACTCATGTGTCCACACATAATCTCATATCGTATCAAAGTAAATACAATATATCACCGAATAATGCGTTATTCAATCCTTTTATATGTACCTGGCGGATCAGGTGGCTGTGAATAACAACACGTAGACAGACCTCTCTTGATTCGCACTATCATATCGGCGACTTCATCGACTAGACGTATTCCTAGACCGCCTAAGAGCTGTTTGCTCAGTCGCAGATAAAAACAGGAACACATTCCATTACCTGGTTTCGTTCTTTATCTTTCTTTTAACGATTACCGTTATCATATCCTTCCCACGTGGGCTTTATCTTCTGATACATCTGAATCGTTGAAAACAGTGTATTCGGTATAAAAATTTATATTCCAGTTTATCCTTATGTTTTGTTTCTTTTTCTCATAAAATTCTGTAAGAGATATAAATATATTATACCAATCATGAATGCAATATTTGTTTTTCCGTTTGCCGCGACACTTCACCGATGAAATCGATTCTATTTCTTTTCATTCATCGAAAATCAGTCGAAAATCTCTCGCGATTTATTTCTTCGATCTCTTCAGAAACCTTTTATTCATATCGATGAAAGGTCTCGCTCCAACTGCCGCATATGAAAAATACTGCGAGCATCATGAGAAATTGTGACAATGTCGATAACATATTGCGACAGCAATGAAACACTGTTTGAATCTATTGCTTGATATCCAACAATTTATGAGAATCGTGCATCAATGATGGTGGTCGGTTCGCAACTACACGCGATATCGTGGCAATGCGCATCAGGTTGCTTGAGAACCAACGATAAGCAACATTTGCCAAACACATGTTCGTGAGAAGTTCCTACAAGTGATTCTGCACTTGTCATAAGCCCATAGCAACTTGCACTTTTTTCATTCATTGGACCGCATGTTTAGCAATGTCTAGTTTCGTTTAAATATTCATCTATTTGATAGATAGCATAGAACTAATCATGTCCGTGCAAATAGTTGGTATGTTCTAATTGCTTCTCGTTCTTCCCTTCTTTGAGTAGAGTAACAGTATCCAATAGAAATAGTTCCAATCCATTTTAAAATTAATAAATTTTTTAAATCAATAATAGTAAGAATTTGATGTAATAAATAATATATCCAATATATTCAATAATTAAGATTATACATATTACATTATGTAATATTTTCTAATAATTGCACATGGCAGATTATAAGGTGTGATATAAAGTTATCATAATGCTAAAAATAACACATACCTTGGTGTTTCTCCAATCTGATACTATTAGGAGGAGTCGATAGAGTTGGCGACAATTTGGCGGGTAAAGGAGGCGGTTCTTGTTGAACATTGTTTGTCCTTTGAATAGGGCTCAAGTAACCATTATCCTCCGGCTAATGTGATGGCAATATCATAAATAAATCACCAAGTCTTTCTCACAATTAATTACAATTCCAAAGTTGTATTTATCGAGAAAAACTCACCGTTTCCGTAATAGATTCATAAATCTCGTAGTCCTCTCCCTCTTCCTCGTGGCTCGTGGCACTGGGCGGTTTATAAACGCTCTCGATCGATCCCTGACGACCGCTGTGCAACGATTGCTTGCTATCGACCCGCGAAATCTGCTGTACTTGCTCAATGATGTTCTCGTCGAATGTTTCATATTCATCCTCGCTCTCCTCCGTTCGCGCCGGCAAATTCGCCACGAGATCGAAATTTCTTATGGTGGCCGGTGGTGGTTTCGGTAATTCCTTATCGGATCCTTTCTTGGTATCCACAGACGTGTAGTCCTTATTTTTTTTAGGCTCTGGCGGTGGTGGCACGGTCATCCTCCCTAGAGACACATATGATTCATAATATATACTCAGACATCGCCATTTGTTTAATTCTTTCGTTGCAAAGGAATTCGAGCAATGCAATATTTATTAACATCATGTTATTATCGATAAGAGAATTGCGCGCGATCTATGCAGAAAGGATTAATACGTAAACGCAACATGTTAATTTGCTCAACTAACTTTGCGTTTTTCTTTGATCATTAGGAATGTGTTGGTGCGTCTTCGGCGCATTATGTAGAAAGGATTTCTGCGGAAGCCTTTTGCCAGAATCTGTTATTGGGATTTTTCGCGATGACAGTGCCTCAGGTTTCGGGCCAATCGCTGGTTTTTTTGTCGGTTGGTTGTTCCTGTGCTTCAACTCCTCCTTCAGTTTCTCGGCTAAACTTTTGTCTAACTGGCTGTGCAACCTCGAGATATTTCTTGTCGGCGGTAATTTTGTCTCCTGGAAATTCGCATATATATTTTCTTCTTCATCTTGACAGGAAGATTCGCAATTGGCATAAGTCTCTTCCTCCTTCGGTTGTGTTATTTTCTTCGACGATCGCATCGGTATCCTACTAATCGGTATCCTATTATTCTGCAAAAACAGAGTCTGTTTATTTTTAATTAGACTCGGTTTTATAGTTTCTTGCGTATCATCAAAGGAACTGATTTCTTCCGTCGCTTCATCATCAAAATCGGTTCCCCAGGAACCGCTGTCGCTCAAGTGATCATCGTTCTGTTGCGCTTCTATAATTTTATTCGATAGATATCTTTCCGGAAATTTATTCAGTTCTTGCACAAAAGTCCATAATTTTCTGCAACAAATTTATTTTTAATATTAATAATTGACTAAAAATAAAAAAAACTTTATAATAAATTGTTAACTATTGTTAACTGTTTTTATGACAGAAGAATAAATTATAATAAGTAGTATTTTGCATGAAATATGATGCAATATTAAATCGTAACGCGGCTACAGTGAAATGATCAAACGCAACCTACGCGGTAAAATTATGCACAACATGCAGTCATCGAGTAATCAAATAGTCGCGCGAAACAAATATTCTCGCGAACAAAACTCTTACAATGGTATCTTTATAAAATATAAAGTTCAAATTATTAGCCACGTAATACATTCTTGGTTTCATCATTGATATGTCAGCAGATTTTTTAGCAGAAATTTATTTCGAGAAGCACTAACAGATTTTTCAAAAAATATAAAATAATTTAATAAAAAAACAAGACAATGTGTAATTATAAAAAATAATGTGTAATTATAAAAAATAATGTGTAATTATAAAAAAAACCGTTGCTTCTTGTATGACGCGATACTTTTCATTTACCTGACATTACACGAACACAACGAGCTATTGGCATATTGAATAATCAGATACCGTTAAGAATATGCTATGAGAAGCACGAGACATGATTCCACGAAGAGAAGTAGAAAGAACAGAAGGAATATACATATAGTTTAATGCGGACAGAAATAAAGCTGTTCTCTCACCCTATCTGCGGACGCGTGAGGTCACTCTTCCAGAGAGCCAGCTTCCCATCCGTCAAGTGCTGGAATAATTACAATTAATTAAGGCACAGTTAAGAGCGCACGCGCCGCCCTCGGTCCCCTCGAAATATTGCTATTGTAACCGGAAAAAAGCAACCGGCAGCGCGTTATCAATGGAAGTGAACAGATAATTATTGCTGGTGTGTCAACGTGTACTCTCTTATTACAATCGAGTCAGCGATTTCGAAAACATATTAGGCGGATGACATATATGCTTTTAATAACTCATTTTTTCTTTCAATCGTAAAGAGAATGTATAAATAAATTATGTAAAAATGGAAATATGTGTGTAAAATATGATAAATACACGTAGCTATAATTTAAAAATCTTCTAGATCAAAATATATTTATTTAAAAAATTAAATAATTAGTTAAGCAATTAGTCTGAATATTAGTTTGAATGATATAATAATCAATGTGCAAAAAAATCGCATGTATTATTTATAGTGGAAAAAAGTTATTTTAATTATAGTTAATATAGCTTTCTTGGTTGACCAAATTGACCGATTACGTCGCGAATGACGTGAAACGCGAGATTCTACTATAGCTCCATTTTTAGAACACCCTGTACATTCGGAGCGACTCAGGGGTCATCGACAGGAACACCAGTGAGGCATCGCGAGCCAACAAATGAGACGTAACCGGGAAATCGCTCGCGCTCCGACGTCTTTGTAATAATAATTCACTTACTAGTAACTCATCGCCGTCGATTTGCCGTTTCATCACTGCGTTGCAACATTCTTCTAGTCCGTTCTGTAAAACGGGGAATATTTTTAGTCGACAGGATGTGTATGGTGCGCTGATAACATGTAAACACATACATATAAAGAAGTTGATATCTCTCACGTGTTAAGAAAGAATGTGCGTGACAATTGATAAAAAAAAAAGGAAACGAGTTATTAGTAATGATGTGTCAGCAGAAACTTAATATTTAGATATCACTTTATTTTCCTCACTAATTTTCAAAAGTCACATGTGAAAGATATTACACGTCAACTAAAATCTCTAAAACAATATTATATAATATTGTTGATTTATTTATCGAGCTTAATAAATATTTTCTTCTCGGTGTAACAAAAGTGAGATAAACTAAAATCTTAAGACTAGGATACACATATTTTTTATTTTGGATTTAAGATATTTTTAAATATGTGTCTATCTTTATCTTTCTTTCTAAATGAATAAAGACAGGCATCTATTTAAGTCTCGCTTAAGGCTAAAATAATGTTAGTGCAATCGGGTCTTAATAAGACAAAATTAAACAATGGTCGTTTAAACAATTGTATAAATAATTGTTTTAGAGATTTGATGCATTTTTAATGTATAATTTTCTCGTGCCTCCAAAAAATAAGTAAGGAAAATAAAATAATTAAGAAACGATAGAGTCGAAAAGTGATATTTAATCGCGATGCTGAAGAATTCGAGAAAGTTACGTAGAATCCGGAGCGTGCACGAAGAAATGCAAACGTCCCTTTCGCCGGCCGCGTTTTCGGAAAATAAGTCTCTTTAACTCTCGATAACAACCGGAACAAACTGCTTTCTTTATATTATAATACAAACATTACATTATAATTAAAATATATTATATAAAATTAGATTTTTATATATTCATGTATCAAAAAATTTTTTTAATATATATGTATAATCCCCTCTTATAATTATATATTTTAAAATTTTTATATTAAAGTATAACTGTCTAGTAATTATATATTATTTTATAGCGAGAGGAAATTACAAGATGCTTTTAAATATCTCGTTATAATTTAAAACTTATTAAAAACAGAGGTACGTTAAATTTTTCACCCAAAAATTGATCACTAATTGCGGCTCAGCTCCTATTTTCTGTACGTAAAATAAATATATTGCAATGAATTGAATAATAAATAGATCCCTACTTTGAAGAATAAATAAAAAGAAAAAGTGACGTGAAGGAAAATGTAGAGACTGCACATTAGAAGGACGAGGATGAAAGCTGGAAATCTTAGAAATCCTGGAAATCGTCCGCGCTTTTTCGTCAGTTCGACGTTCTCCTGACTATAACACGCTACGCTATAAATACACGCACGTCGCGCAATTTATCGTTAATACACGCACGTGCGTCTCGCGTCTTTCGTGCCGTCTCTAGGTGTTCCCAGGCATTCACCGCGGTACGCCAGTCAGTGGTCGCCGTGAAATTGTCCTTGTTTACACTCTACATTCTCTAAAAAAATTCTGCGTATTTTTTCGTGCTCTTCTATTTATGTTGCTCGTCTTGCGCGTAGATATTATGTTTGAACCTTGTCAAAGATTACAAAGTGTACGATAACAATGTACCTAGATGAAGGATGTAACATGTCGTGATAAGACGCGTGATCATCGATTATGACTCATGACGCTACGAACTTGGCTCACCTTGCGCAGCAGGCGCAGCACCTCTTCCGTGTCCCAGGCGGAGATGTCGTCGAGGGCTTCGCTCCGCGACGGCCTCTTGGACATTGCAGCCGAGAGGAGGAAAAAAAAAGGGGAAAAAAACCGTCGCACGTGCACGTTCGCCGCCTGGCGGCATCTGTATCGGCTGTTTTTGCGGCCGTGCACAACCGTCTGACAGACAGCCCCCCCATCGTTCCTCCTCCCATCCTCCTGGCAGCCACCACCCTCGCGAGAGTTGACGGCCATCCGCGCGATTGGTCACTTTCCCATCGTGCACCTGAGCGCCAGGTCTCGGATTAGACGAGAAGCTCACATTTCACATTCCTACAAAAACGATAATCTATGTCACCGTTACAAATTTTCCATAAAATTGCAATAAAATGCTTTATGCTTTATTTTATGATTTATGTAAAGGATATTCCATCCACTTACTTTAATCTCGATGACAGATTTATTGATCTATCTAGAACCGATTTTTTCTTTAATAAAGATATGGAATTGAATATAATATGGAATTTAATATAGAATAAATAGAATGTTAATTTATAGGAGTTAATTGTCGAAAAATTAAATTTTGTCTTGTAGCATTTACATATTATTTTTTTTCAACTACTGAAAACAAAGAAAAAAAGAACCAGTTATGTACTATATTATTATTATATTATGATCTCTAACATTAAGAAATTATTTTAAATTATTAATATTCATGAAAGAATAATTCGTATAACATCTTAATCTTTTATAATAACATCTTAATCTTTTATAATAAAAACTCGAACTATATATATATATATATATATAAATATATATATATATACAGGGTGTCCCAAAACTCATAATCAATCTTTCAAACAGATTCCTGGGATCATCTGAAGATGATTTATCCTCAACGAAAATGTCGAGGCACTAATAATTTTCGAATTATAAGTGATTGAAAATAAGGGGTTTTTCGTAAACTAAGCTTTGTAGAAATAAAATATTAACAAAACCACATTCTTCGATTAATTTTAAATAGAGTTTAATTTAGTTGAGTTTTAATTTAAGGCTTAATTGCAAAGATATATGATGACAAAAATTGGGAACATGCAAAAAATGATGGCCTTCATCGACATTTTCGCTGACGAAAAATCTTCTCCAAATGATCCCAGGAATATGTCTTTGAAAGATTGATTATGAGTTTTGGGACACCCTGTATATATATATATATATATATATATATATATATATATATATACATATATATATACATATATATATACATATATATATATATATATATATATATATATATATATATATATGTAGTTTCATAAAATGAAATTAAATATATAATCCTGGACAAAATTAATGCATAATTTTTTTCACTTTTTTTTTAAATTTTTCGTTAAAATTTAAATATCAACTTTTAAAGAAAAAGTGAAAAAAATATGCGTCAATTTTGTGCAGGAATATATATGTAGTTTCATAAAATAAAATTAAATAACATAAAATACATTTCATATAATACTCACAATTAATATAGAAATAAAAGAGATATACGAGATATACTCGTATATTCATTTTATTCCAAAACTTTAAGTTCATTAAACTTAACCTATAATTTAAGAAATCTCCATTTTAAATGAAATTTTATATTTGGCACATATAAATTTTTGACAGATGATGAATGCGATTTAACCTCAAGTATTGCGAATAATTGTGGCAAACATTTCCTCTCTAATCTCCGTTAAATTCTTTCACATCTCAAGATTCATATTCCTCTCGTCTCCCTCCACGAGACTCCAATCCGATGACACGAATGCGACTGCGCTGAGAGGAGATGGAAAAATCCTGCAGCCATGAGCGCAACAACGGAGGTCGCGTAGACGCCAGCGTTCGCTGCACATTTACACGACGATAGTCTGTATCGTCACGGATCATTTTCCGGTCTGATATCACAGTAGGAACAGTTCGCCAGAAAAGGGTGACGCGATGACTGTCACCGAGCTGACCACACAGCAAGAATTCGACGACTTTGTCAAGTGAGTAGTCGGAAATACCGCGGGAAAGTTTATAACCTTCTTTCATATGTTGCTGCCAAAACTATATTTTATGCATATTTCTCTAAAAATTTGAATCATTAGGAAAGCTCTGATTGCTAACAATTGATGTATCTGTATAGTTTTCTGAAAGAAAAATTTTTGATTTCCAAATAATACATTTTTCTTTGAAGATGTCACAATATATCAATTTTTTTTACTTCATCTTTATCAAAATTCAAGATTAATATATTTTCATATTCATTGTTGCATAATTTTAATGATATGAATATAACAATTGTTCTCATAATTTTTACAAGTACATTTTTATTATGCAAGGTCCAAAGAACTTAGCGTTGTTCACTTTTACGCACCATGGGCACAACAATGTTCCCAAGTGAACGACGTACTCAAAGAGATGACTAATTTGGAACAATACAAGGATGTCAAGTTTGCTAAAGTCGAAGCAGAGAACTTGCCCGAGGTATCTGTAAAGTCTGGAATAGCTGTTGTACCTACCATTCTTCTATTGAAAAACAGCAACATTATAGATAGAGTAGACGGTGCCAATGCTCCTGCACTGACAGAGAAGATCAAACAGCATTTGAAAAACAAGGATCCTCTGTTGCTAGATGTGTTCCAAACGAAGGAATCCCTTGAGGAGAGACTGAAGAAATTAATAAATCAAGCACCCTGCATGCTCTTCATGAAAGGAAATCCTGCTAATCCACGATGTGGTTTCTCCAGAACAATTGTTTCCATCCTAGATAATTATAAAACAGATTATAAATCGTTTGATATATTACAAGACAATGAAGTTAGGGAAGGACTTAAAAAATTTAGTAATTGGCCAACATACCCGCAATTGTATCTAAATGGAGAACTAATCGGTGGATTAGACATAGTGAAAGAAATGGATGAGTCGGGCGAGCTTGAAAGTATGCTACCGAAGAAAAATAGTGCGGAAACTAAGTGAATTGATAAATATAATTATAAAAAAAGAAAAAAAAAGAAATGTTTAAGTTATCTTTCTTAGATATTGCGTGTTAATTATGGAAAATATATCCTACATGGAAGCAAAAGCTATTTTTGTAGGAATATATCGTTTGTGAAATAAGTGATTAAATATATTATGTATTTATAATGATTTCAAAACAAATGGATTTTATTTACAAATCATCAATTAAATTTTATGCAAATATATCACTAAAAATTTTTATTGCAAATAGTATAATTTAATATCTCGCTATTATACGGAATGTAAAAAGTGTGGTCAACAGAAAAATAAACTAAAAAAATTTATAAATTGTTTGTATAAATTTTGCATAGAAGAATTACATGTATTGTTGAAATTACAAATAGAGAGAGAGAGAGAGAGAGAGAGAGAGTCTTTGATTATATAAAATTAATTTTTTTCTTGATATCTAATTCCAGTTTAAATACTTTTCTTTTATTTACATAACCTGTTACCTTTAACCTATGATATTGATAACAGAGAGAAGACTGATTGTGAGAGGCGTACGAGGTGTCATGGCCCGCTTTTATTTTTTATTTTTTTTTTTTTTTTATTGAGCAATAAGCGCGCTCTGGCTAGTCGCCATACAGCTTGATACATGTAAGTTATATCGTCTGTTGGTATGATTTAACAATAGGTAAAAATATTGGAGTCATCTGAAAGCGATACGCCCTCTGTTAATCTAAAAAACGTGGACATGAACTACAAAGCCAGGTCCACGAAAGTTCTCAGAGAGTAACATATGTGTGCACAATTTCTGATTCTGTTCCGTGCTATGTAAAAAATGCCTGTAGTATACGAAATGCCTATGTACACGAAATGCCATCAGTGCTGTATAGTAAAACGCATATATATAAATATAAATAAATTTTTAATTTTAATTTTTTAAATAAATTTTGTGGTCCTCTCTCTCTCTCTCCCTCTCTCTCTCTCTCTACACATACACAAATAAACACACACACATATAATATATATATGTATATATAATATGACGCTACAACTTTATTCTGAAATATCTGCGTTACGTTTAGAAATATATATACATATATATATATATATATATATATATATATATATATATATATATATTCAATTTAAAACATTACATGAAATACACGCGCTGGAATTACATATATATATTCTATGTGTACATAAATATAGATATATTATCTCTTTTCGAAAGATATGTTAACATTGAAAAATTTAAATATAATATATATTTAATTAATTGATTCATATCTATTTATGTCGTATCACAAAGTAAGAAGTTAAAATTTGACTTCAATCCCGAAAAATACTGTGATCCAATGTAATGTTCAAAGATAAAATAAATATTTTTTTATATATTCAATGCCATATTTATATATTTTTATTTACAAAAAAACAATGTCTGTTGTGGAATAAAAACCTTTTTAACCGTATTTCTATAAATCTTTTTAATTAGCAGTATAAAAATTCTTAATATTAATAATATAATTATTGAAATATTTATTAATCTGTTTTTTCTAATATTATTTAAACCTACATTTCCTGATTCTTTAAAAGATACATAATATATAATCAGCTAAATTAATCACATAATAGCCCTAACAATCCTCTACTTTTTGAAAGGAAAATTAAAAAATCTTAATGATCACCTAATAGCCCTAACAATCCTATTTCTCGATTAAGTGAAATTATTCGAGGAAAGCCTATCTCTAATCACATATATTTTAATTACGTGCCCTAATTACATTCTCTAACCGCATGCCCTAACCGCGTGAATAAATGTCCGACATTACGTACTATTGTACGTAAAGCTTTTCTTCAGGCCAGTTGAACTTACTTTCGTTGATCCTGGCCACTTTCTCGCTCGATCTCTAATCAGAGATCGAAAAAGGAGATAAACACTCCTTCTTTTGCCGATTAATTACCGGCAAATAAGCGTAAATATTTCACGCTCATCTAACAATCGCTCGATTTTACGATCGTTTCTTAAATATTTGAATATAACTTTATTTTAACTCAAATAAAGCCAAATTACTACAAATTTCTATATACTATATTTTCTAATAAAATATAAAATTCATGTATGTGTATAACTTTTATGATATTACAAATTATTTAATTAATTAATCGTTTGGCTTTATTTTAAGTTAAAGTAAAATTTAAAAACAATATTTACAAACAAATTCTACAATGGATGAGCTATGATATAAGAAATTAGAATAAAATAAGTGCGCGTTATAAGAATAAAGTAGTATCAAAAATTGATAAAATTGTTAAAATTATTAATGCGTGCTCTTGATTTAATAAACTAGTCAAGTCTTTACAAAAAAAAATTTCTTTTCTTGATTCTCTTTTTTAAATTAATACTTCAATATATTTTCGCAATAGATGCAAAGCATTTCGAAAGAATTTATTAAAAGTTATTTAATTGAATCTATCCTAGCTCATCCATTTTAAGGCAACGGACTTACTCTACAATTCACAATCTACAATCTACAATCTACAATCTACAATCTACAATCTACAATCTACAATCTACAATCTACATCTACAATCTCTACGAATCCGTTACCTTAAAGTTAAATAAAAGTTTTTCTCACTCACCGACACTGATGCGCAACAGCGGAGTTATAATTATCGAAGCTACGTTGTCTGTAACATACAAATATAAAATTCATTTATATTAATGCTCACAAAATGCAATCAATATTTCAAAAAATTTTTATCGCGCGGAATTTTATATCCGATGTGTAAAATAATAAGCAGAGATAAACACGTGTGGAAAATTTTTATAAAATTTTAAAACTGTTTTTTTAAGAAAGTTTTTTAAAAAGTTTTATATAACTTTTATAAAAATCTTTCTCTCTAATTTTCTCTTTAATTCATTTAAATAATAAGATCGAATTATTATGCGTACGATTTATCACAATTGATATACAAATAATAAATATTCACCATCAGGTTGCTCCGCCGATGCAAGATGCCTCTCCCAGGCCTCCTCCTCCTCTCATGTTGTTGACGCGCGAGACTTTCAACGGCACTCCCGCACTCGCGAGCGATATTTTTATATCGCTATTTTCGTTATTTTACGCGCGATACTAAACGGCACTCCCGCACTAATTCGGTACGATTAAAAATTTTGTCGCGCGATGTATATATTTAATATATATATACTTTGTCCGACACTCCCGGTTTCGGTACGAGCGAAAATCCCATTTCATTTCGCGAGAATCAATTTCGAGCCAACAGGTCGGGAATGCAACGATACAGCGAGCAAAGATTAGGCCCAAACCGGAAAGAAGACGAAACGATTGACGGAATAGAGGAAAATAAAGTTCACCAGCTCTTTTTCGCGCATAATTATCCTATCTCATATCGAACCTGGACCCGCTAAGCACGATTTCAGGTGACCCGCACGGATGCTATATCACTAGCGCAGTACACAAGGCTGATAGACGATAAAAGAGGAGGATACCCATATTTTTTAAAAGCTAACATTCAGCAATTTAGAAAATGGGGAGGCAACCCCTTTTACCGAGCAAAAATCGCGCCTAGGGGAATCCACTCGACTCCTCGACAGGGTTAACACACGCTAGGCGTGTGGCTGTAGAGTAGACGAGCAAAGAGAAGGGACCCATTGACGACCATTCCGAACAATCGATCGAGTTCTAACCGATTCGGGCCAAATCAATTGACGAAGCAGAGCGTGTTCATCACTAAGCCGATCGAGCGTGAAGCTCGAACCCGCGCGCCCATGTACATTTTGTACTGGACATACGTTCTGCGCGGCCGGCATCACCAAGTGCCACGTTGCACAAGGCGCGAGTACGGCGCAAAGCAACGACTCGATGAAACATCTCAGTTAGTTGGCGTCGGAAGGAGAGACTCGTTAACAAAAACGAAATTGGGATTTTGAAAACGCGATAACGCGAGAATGCTATAACGCGAAAACGCGGTTACGAAGCGCAGCCGTCCGCGGCACGTTGACGGCATCGACGACGCGAAAGGGTACTTCGCTTCCCTTTCAGGCACCATAAGATTTATGGTAAATAGAAAAATTTAAAATAAATCTCAAGGCACCATCCAAGTACTAAGCCCTCCCACCACGACAAGGTGTACCCCATGGGAGGGTTATATTATATATAATTTTTTTTTATATATAATATAATATAATATAATAATTGTAATTAATAAGCTCTCTATAAAAAATAATTAAATGGAGTGAGAGTAAAAGCTCTCAAATCCTTTACTTTCACTCCATTTAATAATATAATATATAATATATAATATAATATATATATATATATATATATATATATATATATATATATATAATTTGGAATTTATTTTGAAATATAGTATATAAATTTAAATTTACATAATAAGATTTCGATTAAATTGTGTATTTAATTAACAAAAATTGAGAAAATTTAAAGCATTGGTTGAAATATATTTAATTCTAATATTATATTCTAATATTACAAAGAAATATTATAATAAGCATCGATGATTGAAATATCAAAACATAATCGTTTATACTCTTTTATGCATAATCTGTTCCAATGTTTAATCGCAGTAATGAATGATTGCGATTCGATAAAGATTTATCGTTGCATTACAGTTTCATGTCGTTAATTAATTTTTAATTATTTAACATTTATTAATATTCATAACAAATTATGTTTCAAGAATAATCATAATCGTGTTTAACAAAAAAAATTATAATATACGAAGCGTTTCTCACCACTACTTTATTACTCGAGAGTCACTGTGCGAATGATGACAAAGCGGTAACATATAGAGCCCTATTGTTTATATTTTATATTGTTAAAGTCGAACGTCGTGTTATCGATAATCTAAAGCTAAAATATTTTATTGTAAAATATACATTGTAAAATATACATTACCGAAGAATATTAAGTTAATGAAGTATTTTAATTTACTGATTAAAATTGATTATTTATTCAAAAATTTATCACGGAAACTTTTGTTATGCTAATTATATGCATCCATAATTCGATTGTTTTACTTCGCGTTTTCTCACATCCCAAATTATATTTAGATTATCAAGTAGAACGATAAAGTAACACGGATGAAATATATTTGTGTTCTAATTATTAAAATAATAATTATTGT